TCGAAGTAAATTAATAATAACGTCAAAGGCGTCACAGGCTTTTTATTCGAATAAAATAATAATAAACAAATTTAAATAGAAAAAATAAACGTATTCGTCGGCTACGCGAGTAAGGTAACAAAATATAATGGTAACGAGACAGACAAATTTCTCACAGATCGAACGGACACTGACTGGACAGGGAGGACGGTTAATTTAAAAAGGCACACAGGTAGGGATGATTACATAATCAAAACTTACGACGAATACCAACAATGTTTGACAAAATACAATAAAATAATCACGCGACATAAAAACGGTAACACTGAAGATGGTGACTAGCTGCTGATAGTGGCGGGAGTCGCCACAAGCCGGCCACCTGTTACACACAACATATCACGGTAGATTTTTAGGCTAGATTTTAAGTTCGATAAAAAATAATAGTTGAATGCTCAAAATAAAAAATTTGAATTTGTAATTTCTTTTCTATTGTGCAATTATAATTTAAAATAATTAGTGCGTTATAATAAAATGTGCAAGTCCTAAAAGTTACATCAAGTTGTGTTAAAAGGTGCAAGATACATGTATTATTCAATAAAGCTAACATTTTGTGGTGATTAATTGTTAATAATATTTGTAATAGTTACATAAAGATTTTGAATATATAGTTATATTTTAATTATTATACATTATTGTTATTATTATTTATAAATAAGAAATTAACATGCATACACACATAGAATACCTAAAAAATATTAGTAATTAAGGTTAATACAAAGATATTAAAGATGAATAAATTAGATTATGTTAATAGAATAATTATAAGTGATAGAATAGATATAATAGTAAAATACATAATTTTTTTTATTGATTTTTATTATTTTTTATAAGTAATATTGTTATTTAAATTAGTAGTATAATAAGAAAATATAGGTTACAAGCAATTTAAAGTATATTGATAAATATAAGTGTATAAGTATCCAGTAATTATGACATAGAACGTATATAATGTAATATAATATTACAGCTAAAATACTTAGAAATGTTTAATCTTGCTACATGTCGAGGACCATAAATTCTATATTATTAGTTAGTATATATATGTTAATTATCATAATTTACAGACTATTATAACATTAGTCTATTAAAGCTTTATCGAGTCACAAAAAATAGTCGGTTAAATAATATGTGTACATTTTAATCAAAGAAAATCAATGGTTAATAATAATGCGAGATAATTCAATACTGTTTAGTATAATAATAATTATAGTGAAAAAATTATAATATCAAGCGTGATTTATGTTAAATGGCACTAAAAAATTTCATAGTTCACAAGAATTTTTTTTTTTTTAAGTTACTGAATTAGTTTAATAATTAAACAATGTTATTATTTTATTACCATTAATATTGTTATAGAAATTTTTATTTTACATTCAGTGTAGATAAAGTTAACTATACTCAGACAACATTTAGTTTATTTTTATTTTGATATAATTTTTTTTTTTTTTGATTAAGGTTTCAAATATTTTTGATTTTCTAGTTTCTTTTATCTTATAATATTTTAGTTACATAAAGTTTTAATTATATTTTGGGTAGATCTGGTCCTGCGATCACTTTTACCGAAGTTCAATCCGAGTTCATCAAAGGGTTGCTCTCCCCCTCCGGAAAAATTTATATTTCCACCGGATCGTCCGGTGTTTTCAGATTTTACCGGTTCCTCTGTGGAAAATTGAACTTTTTCCGGTAATTCTTCGGTAAAAGTTTCTGTTCTACTGGACAATTCCTCCTTTCTTTGGATCTTTCCTAAATTGTCCGGTTTTTTACCCGTAGAACTGATGTCCAGTAGCCAATCACCGGGAGCTTTTGCTTCGCGTCCAAAAGCTAAGACTGATGGTGTGCATCCTGTCAGTCTGTTCCTGCGGTTTCTCACTGAAAAAAGAATACTTGGAATGCAACTGTCCCACTGGCTATGTGGTTTTTCAATCAGTGCAGTCCGTAATCCTTTTTTCAAGTCCTGATTTCGGCGCTCAACTGGATTTGCCCTGGGGTGATAGACCGGTGTCATCCAACCTAGTGTTCCCCACTTTTCCAGTGCTTTCTCCATTGCTTTGGAGACAAATTGCGTTCCGTTGTCAGACAAGAGCGCTCGAGCATAACCGATACGTGAGAAGAACTCTCTTTCTAACGAATCGGTGATTGATTTGGTAGTGGCCTGGCCAAGTGGATAGGCGTCCACCCATCTACTATAGCAGTCTGTTGCTACTAGTAGACATGTTTTTCGCGCGCAGTCCTGGGATATGGGCCCATAAGATCAATACTTATGACCTCCCATGGATGACGTGGGGCTTTCTCGTTGTCATCGGATCTTGTAGTTTCCGATTTAAAGGCTTCACACATGCGCAAATGTGATACCTCGCGACATATTGTCTTACCGATTCCCTAATACCGGTCCAATAGAAACGCTTACTGATGCTACGGTAGGTTTCTTTCCATCCTGGATGCCCGGCTAGTTCATGGTCATGATACCTCCATAGTAGATGATCAGCCATGCCCGACGGAACGACGATGATGTTTTCCCTCCGGTCCTTTTAGTAAAATACTGTTTTTCAAGTGAAGGAATGAGAATGCTGACTTTCTAGCCAGAAAAGGAGCAGAGAACACCTATGTTGGACCAGAACCAGTGGTAGGACTCACTGAGCAATCGCTCAAAGCGTTACCCAAGAATTGGTGCAGAGAACAACACAGGAAAATCTGGAAGTACTTGGTAGTACCTAGACAATCTAAAATGTTTATCAAGACCCCTGGTTTATTGCTGGGTGATCTTAATAGCATGACTAGACATCAAATAAGCACCCTGACTGGTCTACTGACAGGACATGGTCACCTGCTTAAGCATCTTAACGCAATGGGGGTATCGGAATCACCATTGTGCAGGAAGTGTGGAGTAGAAGAGGAAGACTCATTTCACATCATGTGCGAATGTGAAGCCTTGTCCACACTAAGATCAAACTACTTGAATAAACCATTTCCTGAAAAAGAGGATATTAAAAACCTAAAACCCAGAGAGATACTTAATTTCGCCAGAAAGACAGGACTCTTTGGTCATCTTTAGAAGTGATTTTATGGTTGGTAATGTATTAACACTTTGGTGTTAAATAACATTTAGGTGGGTAAACCGAATCAAGACAATTCGGTATGAGGTGCGCACAATGGACCAACAGGTTTGAATGCATGGGCATTATGTCCACCTCAATAATAACTAAAACTAAAACTAAAAATCTTATCTAATATAATCCGCCGTAAGTATTGTCATTTAAAAGTGTTGGTTACAGTTTGTTATAAAGACCTTATTGACATCGACAAGAAGTGAATTTCCGGCCGATTGTTACAGTCTTTTCGTAGATAAAAATAGTATATTTTCGTCTGACCTTGTCACAGCGGCCGATTCCCAGGTAACCGTTATTATTATTGTTCACTCGCTGCCATATCATATACGACGGCCCCGTACCATCTTCTCGCGGTACTTTATAACATCAATAGCAATAATAACTTGTTTTCTACAGCAGTAGCAAATTTGACCGTACACGGAGATATTGTTTATCTCCGCTATTAACGTAGCATACATTTTATTATTAAGGTTTGTAAATAAACATAATATTCCCGGTCAATATGTCGGGGAAATCATTAGCACAAATGAATTGCGCTGAATTACATCGCGAATGTGCTTTTAGACAGCTACCATGCTACGCGACGAAACCCAACATGCTAATTATGCTAGAGGAAAACATACGTAGCGAAAGGAGGAATCCAGCTACTGAAATGTTACCACCCCATACGCCGCTCGACGCGAAATATCAGCGGCCTGGCGTAGCACCTTTACCGGAGGAACATCCGGTGAACCTCGCGCTACACACATCGGACGACGAATCTGATGTCAAACAACTGGGAGAAATTACGCGCGCAAGCGGACAACTAGGCGCGCCGTACGTTGAGGACGTATACGTTGCCCGCTCGATAGCGCACACGGCTGAACAAGTCGGGGCGATCCGACAGAACTTTCGCGACATTTCGAATAATGCGCGGATTGGCAAAAACGGATGACTGAATTAGAAAGGTCGCTGCCGCGTATGTCAATGAATAGTGACAGATTTCAAACATGCTTGAGCAAATCAGTCAAAATATGCTGCCGTCCGCACATGTTGCTGTACAACCGACTATTCGTCAAGTTAACGTCGAACGAAACGATAGCCGACGATCAGACGCGCATCGCATTACATTCGGTTCAGGGCAGGGAAGGTGATTGGTGGCGAACCATAAAATTAAACAATATGCCATAACAATACGGAATTTAGGTCCGAATTACTCGAGGAGTTCGACAATATCGATATCCGACGGCTGATATCGAGAGAGACACGGGTGAGCGCCAGCCTAGAGCAAAAGGCGGTGCGGTGTCAATGTCAATAATAAATTCAAGGATTTTGTTGAAGAAAGTAACTAGAAACGAAATCGGCTTAATTTTGTGAAGAATTGGTAGTTGAACTTTGTGAATATAATTTGATAGTGTAAGAAATATGAAATGACGTAGAACAAATGAATCGATTGAACAACAAATTCAAGAGGATTTAGTTAAAAAAATTTAAATAACACCAATAGCAGCCATTTCATCTGAACATTTCAAGAATGAAATAATCAATATTGACTAAATTTTGTAAATAATAGAAGAGTTGTAGGATCCCAAGTTGTAAATATTAAACTTTCATTAAGTGTCCGAAACAAAGAAAGGAATTTCTTTGTGACATAATTATATTTTTTTCTTCAATTTTAACATTTTCTATTGTATTTTTAAGTATAATAATATTTAGTATCCTCAAAACTTAAAATTTTTTATATAACTGTGTAATGAATCTATAAAAATAATAGATAATATAGAGATATATATTTTTTATAAATAAATGAGACTAATGCTGCAAGCCACGACAAATATTATGTTTTTATTATTTTGTATATAATACCATAGAATTTTAAAAATATGTTCGTTTAAACCTAAATCCTATTTCAGTTAACACCTTTAACTCATTACTTCTGAGAATTTTTAATGTAGTGCGAATATTATTTGTTGACTTTTTTAAAGAGTTTACTAATTCTTCTAAATCTGTATTGCCTGGAATCTATATTTGTATAAAAATGTATTATTAGTAATAGACGTAACAAAACTTATTTTTAATGTGTTTAGAGTTTTCCTATTTTACCGTGTAATTTCCTAAGCACAAAATAAGTATGTTCATCAAAGTTTCCATAGGTAATTTATCATTATTTTCTGAACATTGAGAGTCATTATATGATAATAAATTCTTATTCATTAAAACACTGAGTGCTTTAGTTAATCCACTAATAGAACAATCATCTTTACATAAAGCCAAAAGCATAGCTTTATAGTCAATTTTATTTTCTATCGTAAAAGCGACAAGTAACAACTTTTTGATTTTTAAGTATCGAAGGAAAACTGATGGAGTTATTGGCAATATATTCTCAAACCATAATGGAATTGAATCAACGTCATCCTTTTTAATCATACCTAAATTTTCATCAATATAGAGAAGTAAAGATTTGGAATTAAATACATAATTAAAATTTTTCTTTATTCCTGTTAATTAGCCTGTTTTGAAAAAGCTTTTATTTTCATTCCACCCTTACCATCCCCTATCTATCAAAACATATTGACAATATTAAAAATATCACCTTTAATAGAATTTTTTTTTAAATTCATTATCACCCAAAATTAAAGTAGTTCATTAAGAAAAATCTCCCATTTTTAATGATTTTTTACATCCTAGTTACTTCTTATTAGTTATTACTTTGTTAAGGTATTAGATGTTATTTCTTAAAACGCTGATAACTTTTAATACAATTATCATTTAGTGAATTTTTTTTAATTAATTATTGCATTCTTAACTAAGTTTAAAGCATATTATTTATCATTTTGTTTCCCGAACATGCTATAGTTGTGGTGGTGGTCGGTCGTCTTTCTCATGTTAGTGAGTCAAAGATGATTCTTGACCGGTTTGCACTAACAAGACGATACGAATGAAAAAATCACAAGATAAATTTTATCGAATCAGTGTCTCTATGTGTCAAAATATACGTTTCTACCCAAAAACGGGACCACAGTTCCAGAGCGATTTTTACTGAAAAAATGCCTCTCTCGGTCACTACCGACGAAATTTATGTTTTCTAGTGGATTTTACGGCTTTTGAAATAGCCTGTTGAGAGCAATTATTTCAAAACCTGAAAAAAAAAGTACTAACTCTAAATGCAGTTTAAAGGCGAGGTAAAAGAAGAAGATTAATTGTTGTGTGGACGCAAATAAGGTAACCGGAACCAAGTTGCTCTAAGATAGAGCCGTTCATTTATCACAAAGAAAACAAATGAATACGTCTAAACGTATATAATTAATTAACAAAAGAACCACGATAATATTGCTGCGTTAACAAAATATTATCTTTCTATATTTTCGGAACGATGTATATACGGCGATCTCAAGAAGATGACTTTCAAGTACGACGCATAGTCGTCTATGGGGCACTTGTTGGACATTGAATTATGTTGTATAGCACGCGGTGTTGGTGAATCATACTACCATATATATGTAGTGGGGTGGCGTCTAATTAAAAGACCGCGTCAATTAAAAAAATAAATAATAATAATAATAAAAAATAAATATTAAAAAGCTCTAAACTTAGTCTTAGGTAGCAATAATTATTTTAAAACAAATGTTCAACAAAATGATTATTCTATTAAAAGTTATAAATGTTTTCAATTAGGTATGAGACACTGTATGTATGCAAGCTAATTTATTTAATTATAGCCACTCTATTTCTTTTTTTGAATAATAAAGTTTTCATCCTTATAATATATAATGAATGAATTAAAAAAAAAAAATTAATAATTAATGAATTATAGAATTAAAAAATCCCAAAGAAAATTTTATTAAATAATTATTATTTTAAAAGAATTCGAGTGGTCAATATTATATTTTTTCATATACAACATAATAAATTTTGGATAAAACGCTAATTTTATAAGAAACTATTGAAAAAATGACTTTAATTAAGTACGCATATACTCGTAAGTGCGCAATTTTTAGTATCCGTAATACCATGCCAGGATTTACATATAAATTGATTTGAATTTGTAACAGCATAACCTTTTGCATCAGACAGAAAGGTGAGGAAGAAGAAGAAGATTCATTATACTGAAATTGTTGAGGCCACGTAAAACGTTATAATACGTTTCACCAAGCCGCTAATGATACTGACAAGGGGAGGTCACGGTGATGGGGTCACCGATTTTCATAAAATTTATATAGATCTAATCTATATTGAATACAGAATCAGACGTATTTGGAATTTTTTGCCAATGCCCCCCCTAAGTCGAGAAAATTGATTTTGAAAATTTTTAATTAGCTTAAATGGGGTCATTTTTCTTCCGGTTAACAACCCGTGTTATGATCCAGTAGACTATACGTGATCCCACAACACGTTTAGGCTCGGGATCGAGTCTCAGCGACTGATGAAATTTTTTGCTTTTTTTTTCACTGTTTTCTCTTTAAATTATTAATTTTACGGAATATTTGTTAAATTTTTTATAGTAATAAATAAAATATATTTTTATATTAACCGAGTAAGAGTATATAAATTATAAAGGAAAGAGATTTTTGAAAGGTTTAACGTTCAGTGCTAGGTTTTGCGTGTAGTTCATATTTTATGAAGGAGTAAAGTTAATCATTTTTTTTTTTCATTAAATAAAATTTATTCATTTGAATTGAATTATATTTATTGATTAATATTTACGTGTATTTAAAACTCTTACATTATTATTTTTTAATTACTATTTAATAATCAAAATTAATAATAATAAAAAATATAATTATAAATTATTATTTATTCAATTGACTATGACTTTTGTCATATAACAAACATACATTTTTTTGAAAATTACAATAGGTTAAATTAAAATATATAATGATTTTATATATGTTTAAATCCTCATAATCATCTCTTTATACATATACTCTTACCTGGTTAATAGTAAAAGTTATATTTATGTGTATAAAAGTTTAGTTTACTTTAATCATAGTTTTACCATTGGACAATCGATAATTTGTACCATCAAAATGTGCTTTGAATGCAAATAAAACTATATATATAAATAAAATATTATGTAAAATTAATAATTTAAAGAGAAAACAGTGAAAAAAAAAGCAAAAAATTTCATCTNTAATAAATAAAATATATTTTTATATTAACCGAGTAAGAGTATATAAATTATAAAGGAAAGAGATTTTTGAAAGGTTTAACGTTTAGTGCTAGGTTTTGCGTGTAGTTCATATTTTATGAAGGAGTAAAGTTAATCATTTTTTTTTTTCATTAAATAAAATTTATTCATTTGAATTGAATTATATTTATTGATTAATATTTACGTGTATTTAAAACTCTTACATTATTATTTTTTAATTACTATTTAATAATCAAAATTAATAATAATAAAAAATATAATTATAAATTATTATTTATTCAATTGACTATGACTTTTGTCATATAACAAACATACATTTTTTTGAAAATTACAATAGGTTAAATTAAAATATATAATGATTTTATATATGTTTAAATCCTCATAATCATCTCTTTATACATATACTCTTACCTGGTTAATAGTAAAAGTTATATTTATGTGTATAAAAGTTTAGTTTACTTTAATCATAGTTTTACCATTGGACAATCGATAATTTGTACCATCAAAATGTGCTTTGAATGCAAATAAAACTATATATATAAATAAAATATTATGTAAAATTAATAATTTAAAGAGAAAACAGTGAAAAAAAAAGCAAAAAATTTCATCTGTCGCTGAGACTCGATCCCGAGCCTAAACGTGTTGTGGGATCACGTATAGTCTACTGGATCATAACACGGGTTGTTAACCGGAAGAAAAATGACCCCATTTAAGCTAATTAAAAATTTTCAAAATCAATTTTCTCGACTTAGGGGGGGCATTGGCAAAAAATTCCAAATACGTCTGATTCTGTATTCAATATAGATTAGATCTATATAAATTTTATGAAAAGCGGTGACCCCATCACCGTGACCTCCCCTTGTGAGTCCCTCCTAACAGTGCGCGACAACAGTATAACCACTACCACGATTGATAACGGTTCCAGCAACGTTATTAATCAGCCGGCCACCTGTTACACACAACATAACACAGTAATTTTGTAGGCTAGAGTTATAATATAGTATAGTGAAGTATTGTTTAGCGGAATAATCATCTGTTGAGAAAAAAAAATTGTATTTTTTTTTATAGACTGCACTAATTGCAGTAAATTGTAAAACAAATTTTTTTTCTTTTTGTTTTGATAATATTGTTGATTCAACACAATTTTTGAATTTGAGTAGTATTTGTCGTTACATAAATTGGGATCTTATTCTTCTCTTAAGCTACTAATTAGCAAATGTATTTTAACTAATTGTGATATTAAAAATTGTTTAGTTACCAAAAAATTGTCTTTAATTAGTAAGTTCTTTGTTATTGTTGTGTTCCGTGTTTAGTTTTAGATAGATCTCTGGCCAGCAGCTCTGCAAATTGTGAGTACTATTGTTGATTTGTGTTCCACTTTGTAATTTAGTGTAATCTTCTTTATTATTATTATAGTTATTATTGAACAGATTAGTTATTACAAGTTTTATTTATTTATTATTTATTTCATTGTAGGCGTAAGGCCAACGCACAACGGTCATGAGGACCTTGTGAGTATAAAATAGTCATTATCACACGGGTATTTGTTGTTTTATATTGTGGGAAAATCATTAAATAATTAAACTATCTTTAATTTTGTGTAATCTGTTCAATGTCATTTTAGTAATAATTATTATCTAGTCAAATTTGTTTAATTTAATTACTACATCTTATTGTTGAATTTTATACTCTCTTTCTTTATATTGTCTTTTTAATTAATTACATAATTTTACACCATTGTTCTTGGAGTTATTTTTAGACATATTGTTTAGTACTATAATTACTTAAAAGAGTGAATTGAGAGTCATTTATTATTGGAAGAGTGATATTCATTTGTTATTGATTTATTGAAGTTATATAGTTCATTGTTGTTGTTATTTTGTTAGAATTTTTCAGAGTTTATAATTATATTATTTGTTGAGCCAAAAGGGCTAAATTTATCTAGTCAAGTTATTTATTAAAAATATTATTAATTATTGTAAACAGGTTTAAATTATTTATTTATTTAGTTTAAGAGTACACACAAAACCATATATACACACAATTCACACTTGAGTACTACATAGATCACTGGTTTTAAGTTTCATTTAAATGGGTGTCTTATCCAAAATAGATTCTATATAATGATGCATAATATCAAATGGAGTTACCAGGAATATAATTATTATCATTTTTGTATTTTTCTTCTAATTCAGAATATTTAGAATTCAAGTTTAACAAATCATCAATATTTGAGTTTGGCAACTCCATTAAATTCAATACAAAATCCGTCCAATCTATAAAATTTACTGAGTAACCAAACATATTTCGTGGAATATCATTTGCCTTATAATTCCACCTATAATAAATATTTAATTAAACATTATGCTATAATTTTTTTTTTAAATAATGATTATATAACTCTTTACAATAATGACGGAAACCGTTGAACATAATTGGCAAACCAGAAAGATAGCGTTTTTATAGAAATATATTTTTCGGGACAAAATTGGGAAAGCTCCATTATTAGAATTTCGATTCTTTCTGTCGTTATTATGAAATTATTTTGCTCTAAAAGTGGAAAAGGGTATGGAGGAGTAATATTTGGATATAATGCATTTTCTATATTAAGATAAAAACAATCATTGATCATAAATATATCATGTCTAACAATTCGTCCTTCAATTATTGTCGTTTCAAACAAGTTACAAATATTTTTTATTTCAGCGAGCTCATGTTGTAAGCGATTTTCTATTTGCTTGTTCATGTCAAATATATGCTGAATTGTACTATTTTTCATATCCTTATTAAGAATAAAACTCTAGTTAAAAATTAAATTAAATTTTATATTTTAATGTAAATATGTAGTACTGATAATATTATTCGGCATCTAGCCATTATACGTTTTAATTGATTAGATGTTTTCCATTTTTCCATTTGCACTACAAACTTCCATAGTGTCAAATACATTGGACTAGTCTCCAACGAATCAAAATTCATAATTTTTTTGGTTTCGTCCAACCAAGAGGATATAGTTGAGTACATATTCATTATTTTAGTCGTTGCTGCACGTAGAATCACTTCAAATTTCGCTCCTAGAACTTCACCTCTACTTGAAATATTAATTCTAGCTCGACTATGATCTCCCAATAACAATATATCAATAACTTTTGGCATTGAGGCCAATATTAATTTTTGTTTAAACATTTTTGACATATACGTGTTTATAAATATCAACGTGTTTACAGCACGATCTAACTATTTTAAAAGTAGTATTGTTATAATGTATGTAAAATAGTTTTTCAGTTTGAATCATTAAATTGATTGTTCTTTTAAGTATTATTAAAAAAACATTAGCATTCAAGACTAATCAAAACTATTGATAATTAATTAAACTAATAATTAAATTTTATAACTGAAATTTGCTTATAACACTTACTTCTGATTGTAACATACACATGTATACTGCAAATAAAGAATGCATCTGCTTGTCTAACCAAGTTTCAATAATTTCTTTTTCAATAAATTTTTTACACTTTTCAATTTTTAAATTCGTTTTTTGAATTAAAAGTACCCTGACATCCGATACAGCAGACAAAAGTGTTTTTGTAATATTTAATGGCAAAATATCATTGTTTAATGGTACTTTAGATAAATTAGTTTGCAATTGTTTCACTAATTCTATTTTATTGATATCTTGTCTTCTTAGCATTCCATTTAAAATGTTTTTTATCGTTATTATATATGGTACTTGTTCTGATAGTAATATTCTTTTATTAAAAAAACAACTCTCCATGGATTCTACGAATAAGTTTTCTAATGACATCCAGACACGTCCCATTGTTATCCCATCTTCCCTACGTATCTGGTTATAGAATAAATTTGTTGTCACTTGACTGATGTTAGTCATTTGAGATGATGGTGAATATAAAAGAATGTTTGAAAACATTTTAGCATTCATTGTAGTTATGTGTTCAACAAAGTCAAATTCTGATTTCCCTCGTAATCGTCCTCTTTTAAAAGTTTTATGTGTTGATTTATTTTGAATAAATGAATTTGATAATTGAGATTTATAGTCGAAGTTGCTATTCTCTAACATTGTCGATTGTGTGACATTTATCCATCTTAATGACTTATTCCATTTTACAGTTTCATTTGTAATAACATCACAAAAAAATTCTAAATCTGCATCATTAATTAGCATATTTTTCTCAGATGCTTTTAATATAGTGAGTATTCCTTGTGCCTTGTAATATTGATCTATAGAATTCCATTGGACATCTTGCAAATTATCTGAAGCTAATATCTAATAAATAATAAATAATGATATTTAAGTTAGAAGAACCAAATTAATTAATTTTACTCTTATTATTTTAGTTAGTGATGACCGATAACATCCACTATCTCCTAATTCCGAATCTTTGAATTGTACTGTTACAGTTAAATTTAATTTTTTCATGTATTCTAACAAACCAACAGGAGGCGAAATTTTATTTGCTAATCTTTCTTCTATTAACATTATTTCATCAGCTGTATGAGGATATCCAACTAAAACAGCACCAAATGTTAAACATTTTTCTTTAATGAAACATAATATACAATCAACTAAATGATGCTTTTGTAATAATTTTCCTTTATATATGCTGAGAAAAGCATTTATTCCACATTCAGCGCATGCTTTTCCTACAAATTGATCATATTCTATTTTTGCAGTTTGAGTTTGCTTTGATTTTAAGTTATGATGTTTTACTTCATTAAAAATTATATTGTTATAAGTTTTACTTTTATTCTGATTTTTTATTTTTTGATATTGTTCTAAATACGTTTTAATATTATGATATAATGAATTAAAATAAAATTATAATACAAATGATTTGTTTTACCTTGCAAATTTTCAAAGCATATTTCTTCGTCGTTATTAAATTCTAATAACATTAACAATTCATTACTATCAATTTCTCGAAAAAAGGCATTCATGCAATAACGAAGAGCTAATTCTGGTGTTACAGGAAGTATACTTCGTTTAATTAATTTTTCGAAAAGTATTATTTGCATGCTTTCTTCTAAATCACATTGTATAATACCCATAATGGATCCGTATACTGAGAATTCTGTACCAACAATTGGTGGTGGTAAACTATAAAGCGAACTGAGGACATCAAAAACTAGCAAGCTCAAAATTCGATTTTCTCCAGTGGAACGTTTGATATTTATACCAAGCGTTTCGTTTGACCAAAAACTAGTACCATTCAAATAATGGCACAAATCTGCGTGATTAAGAATTTGATGAGTTTTTAACTCAATATAAGCGTTGGGTTTATTATTTTCTACATAATTAGTATCTAATAAAAGTCCCATTTCATCATCTAATGATACTAATAATGGTCGTCCTTTAATAAACATTTCCAACCAATTGTCCCAAGATTGTTTGGTTATGTTACCACGATTTTTTTTATTGTATTCACTAACTCTAACACTCAGGTCAATTAATTCATCAACAATTTTTTTCATACTACTTTTCTTTTTCCTTTTTTTTTTATAATTCATTATTTCTAAAAACTTAACATTATATATTTTTTTATTAAAATTTATCAAAACACTAAATATCTTTTTCGTTTTCATACCTTTGTTTTAATATTTGTTTGTGTTCCCTCATCGATTAGATAATAAATATTTTTTACTGTCTTCATTTGCTCATTAACCAATTTAATTTTTTTATTTGTCCTATTAGTTTGAAAATTATTTTTAACATATTTTATGTTATTAATTTTAGATATCAGTTTCTTCTCGCAATTTGACAAATTGTTCATTTTACTAAGCATTGATTTATTTTTCAACTCAAGTTGAAAAAGACACATTTCTGTATCTAGATTGGTTTTTAATATAAAATTCGTTGTATCTTTACTCCAGGAATTATACATTTTTGAAAAATTTTTCCCTGTTTTGAGATCTATCATAAATCTTCAAATAAATAATGATAATTACAATGATAAAAATTATAATTTTTTATTACCAATATTGAAAAGTAAAGTATACATTTGTTGGAGGATAAAAATAACAATTAAAAACTAATTTTTGATTTTAATATTTATTTATTAATTTAAATTAAAAAATTTTGAAACTAATGGATTTCGATATGTTTGTCACACAACTTATGCTGCAGGTTATACAATTTCAATATAATTTAATAAGTCACATTAAAGTGAAATTTTTATCCAACTTTGAGTTCAAAGTTAGGTAGAGATAGTAAACTAAAAATTCTGACTATTAAATTTGTATCAGAATTTCATGACGATGTTTATTTTTTATACAAATAAAATTTGAAAGGGGAAACAGGAAATGAATTAGAAATTATAGATGTTGATTTTTAGGCATGAATAATATTACATTACTACTCGTGATATACATTAAAAAAAAACTTGTATATTAATATTTTTTAAGTAACAGTACTACTAAAAAGAATTAGTCAAACATAATAAGATTTTGTTTTAATCTTTGAATTAAAAAATATACATAGTTCATTTAATTTGAAAATATAGTATCAAATTCAGTCATTTTCAAATAATGTTCTTTTAAGAAATTTTCTCTCTTTTGGATTATCTAGTATTAATATTATCTATTAGATATTATGAGAATATTATCAAAATAATTAAAGTTTATGGTCTTCTGATGTATCGTAAAAATTTTAAGATATAACTAATGAGTCGAGTAAAAGAAAAAAGTAATTTAAACATATGTTATTCGGTATTGAAATTATGAGTTACTACTAATCATAAAAATATTTTTGTATAATCAAACATATAATTTAATGTTTTGTATTCATCTTAAATAAAAATTAAATTAAGCTATATTTGTCTATATTAAAAGAAATGTTGAAAAGTCTTGAAGAAGATTACAACAACCCGAGAAAATTTTATAATTTGCAAAACTATAAAAAAAGATACAATCCTCAAACCCCTATCATAAAAATCACAACGGTCACCTACTGACGAATTCAACAAAAATAGTTGAACAATTCCGTAAAAATTTCGTCGAGCTATTAAATAACAATAGTACTTATGGAAACATTGTAAAATATGAGAGAATGATATATCAAACATCAGAACCGGAAACCAAAGTTCGAAGAAATAGAGCTTATCATTAAGAGGTAGACTTCGGCAGAGATGGTTCGATACAGTTAAGAAAACCCTGAAGGATATCAATACATTGCTGGATATGGAAAGGTGGAAGAGCGTGTTGAAAGCGGCGATGGTCTTAAATGGACCGCTATAAGCCAAAGAAGAATAAGAAGATATTTGTCTATTGTTAAAAATAAAATATAAAATAATTAAATTGCACAGAAAATTATTTTATGACTATAGATGTCACTACTATTCTATTTGTTTAAATTATTTAATTTTACCTTCCATATGATTGATCCCCTCTAAGATTCCACGTGTTTATTTTTTCTGGTAATTTTTGTTCAAAATCATCTAATTTTGTAAAATCAGTTTCTGGCAAATAATAATCGTCCCTTGTATTAACGATTTCATGTAATACACAGTTTTCATATTTATTATTTATATAATTTATACACTTTTTATGATATTCACTATATGAATTTTCAAATGATGCGTATACCTGATTGGCACAAATAATAAGATTCAAGCTATTTGATGATTCCAAACGATAATAAAGCCTATACAATAATCCATATGTTGTTGCATTTTTTCCAAAAATCAGTTCTTTAATAGTTATATTATCCAAAAAAATATTTATTTTCTCCAGCCAATAACAAATTCGGTTAAAATTCACAACTTTAGTCAATTCATTAGTTTCATCGTGTAATAAAGCCACATGCTCAGGTTTAATTAAGTTATAATTATGTAATATATGTGCAATTCGAACGCCATTTTGAAAAATTAAGCACAATTTCTCATGCTTTATAAATTGAAACTCTATGCCTAATTGGCAAGTGAGCCACTTTTTTAAAATTATATCCATTATAAATTAAATTATTAGTCAAAATATTCAATTGCAACGTTTTTATAACAAAAAAAATGTATTATCTTTGTTGTTTCTTAGTAACATTAAATTAATTTAAGTAGCTTGTATTTAAAACAAAGTAAATTTGGGTTTTTAATCATGTAAACTTAAGATAAATTAAAATAAACTTTTTTTTATGTATTATATTGTATTCTCTGCGGGGCGTTTTAAATAAAAAGAAGACTGAAATAAACAAATAAATTTAATTATTAGCTAAAAATTGTTACGGCTAAACGTTGTAGAACGTAAAAAAAATAAATATAACACTGGGTTCTTAGACAAGGGCGTGAAGCCGTTTATTAGCTTTCCTCAGAGGAAATCGTCACAAACCAAGAAAAATTATTATAATATATTATAAATAACGGTAAACAATATATAAAATTTTAATACACATAAAATCGACGACAGTGTCGAGACGGCGAGTCCGTAAAACCAAAAAATAAGTATCGCTGATCTGAACACCTTGTGGTGTCACGAAGATTACTCACTCAACGTATATTTGCGGTGGGTCGTAGACGGACGTGCGGTACTTGCTGGACTTTGTATCTCGGCATATCGCATGCGGTGTTAGTCAGTCAAACTACCATATACACATAGTTGAGCAACGGCTGATAAAGATGTCTCGGGTCGCGAGGCTCTATGTATAAAGAAACGCGTCAAAATAATAAAAATGCTTATTATAATTTTTGTAATAGAGTAAGGGAAATCGATCCAATTGTAATACACATATAAAATAAACTACGCATCTTTGTATCATAGTTGAACTATTAGAACAAATCGAATATAAGGTTAAAATTATCACTTGAGATACCACCAAGTGTGTAACTAGATTAGCCCCACACGGCCTGTAATAGCGCACTATTCATGTACGGTGAATTAGTATTCGTTGTGATTATTAGCTGTCCACCATCGCATTCGTCAGTTCTGACGATAACGCTATGTTCGTTTTGTTTAGCGGTTGTTAAATACGAAAGGTCAGAGAGTTTAGCACCATGAGACACTATGTAAACCGAGTCACCTGTGACTTGCATTCGCCACACATGCCACAGAATTGTATAATCACTGTTTAACAACGATTAATGATTCAACTATAATAACTTGATGATGAAAAGATTATAAATTTAAATTTGGGATTCAGGTGTTTCTTTACATGACTATTTATGCTAATGTCTCTAAATCAAAAATGTATAAGGAGTTTTCCGGTTTTTTCGTTATGTAATCTTTTTAATTCAAAATAAACTACATCATGGGACTCCCAGTGAAATTTCAATATAAATTGACGGGTTATACTCGAGTGATATTTTTTTCCAACTTTGAACATTAAGTTTAGGGAAGGGTGACAAATTTACAAAAAATCGAGTGACCACTTAATTTGTATAAAAATTTCATCGGAAATGCATGATGATATTTATTTTTAATTTAAATAACATTTAAAGTGGGGAAACCCAATTTTGGAGATAGGAAATTTTAATTTTTGTTTTCGCTATTTTTGGGTCCTAGTGAATATGAACTTATTACTCATAACATTGTTTAAACTAACACTCTGTACATACATTGCATCACATACATAATATCATCCAATGTCTAGGTGGGAAAAAATTCTTTTCGAAACTTGATTAGATTTTATAATCAAATACCAATGAAACAGCAAGATATAACAAAAACTTTCCAAAACCAAACATAGTACAAGCATAGAAAATATTTTAGCAATTATAAATTTCTGTCGTCAATTTATCCTATAAGCTGCTACTATTCATGCACCATTGTATAAATATTTAAAATTGTACCAACAAGAAACGTCTATATCATGGACTGATGAAGCTAGTAATGTATTTATAAGATGTAAACAACATCTGACTACACTACTCATCGCACCACATCCATCACCAACCTCAACACTATTTATGGATGTGTCTGATATTAGTATAGGTCAAGTGGTGCAATAACAAACAAATGATAGTTGGGAACCACCGACATTTTATTCAAAAAGATTAGTGGGGCACATACACGGTACAGTTTACATGATAAGGAGTTGATACTATCAGTTGTTATGCTACTATCAGAACTTCAATTACATGCTAGAAGCAACACATTTTTCTAGGTATAATAAACATAAGCCATAGTTGTATGCATTTTCTAAGAATGAAGAAAAATGAGCACCACGGCAAGTAAAACAACTAGACTATATAAGTCAGTTTACAACTGACATTAGGCATATCAGTGTGTGTAACAATGTAGTTGCTGATGGACATTCAATGGATTAAGTTTGAATTACCAAAAATTAACAGAAGCACAAAGAGAAAACGAAGTAATCAAGCAGTTTCTGAATAGTTATAATATTTTTTTAACTTGAATTTAATTTTTATACCTGCGACATATATTGAAATCATTGTGATACATGTATTGGATGATCCCCTAGACCATTTTTACCAAACAGTTTTCGTCGTCAATTTTTGATTCAATACACAATTTAGCTCACCAAGGTTGTGCTCTTCAATAATCGTCAGGTTTACAAGATATAACCTGACCTATAACCGATATCACTACAAAATCGATAATTGTCATATTGATAGTGGTGTATTTCACGTTTTTAAGTTCCTATTTTTATTACCAGCGATTTGAGCACACAATTTACTTTTAATTTATTAAAAGTTTCTAAATCTATGGAATTGTTATTAGTTTAATATATTTGAAGAAAATTCACAATTCACTGCTTGACAGTACTTCGAAGGTAACCAGATTAGGTCGTGTGACTAACTTCCCTAGTCGATTAAAACTGAAGAAGTACTGTGACGGAAACTTGCGATTTAGTTACCATGTTAACTTATTATATAATATTTTTTCTAGGTATGAAGGTATTAAAAAATATTCTCTTTTTTTAAATATTTTTGTGCCTGTATATAATTGTTGTAGAATCTCATTAAAAGAATTTTTATGCTTGCACACGGTTACCTAAATTACATTTTATAATAATAAGATAAACCATACGATAGATTAAATATTTTCAAACAATTTTGTTGATATAATTTTTTTATAAAATAAACTATTAACGGTTTAAAATATAATTTATCATTCATTTGGTTTTCATAACACCAAAGGCAATAATAAATTGTTTTAATAAGCTATAAAGTAAGTATTTTCTGTATTTAATCTTTTCATTGTATGTAATAGATATGATAACAAGAATTATTAATAAAATTTTGTTTAAGTAACATACTAAAACAAAAAAATGACGACTACTCTATATAAAATATTAAATTATGAATTGACAATAAGTAAAATATCACTTCTTTTCCCTTACTTTAATCCCAACTACCTGGAATCAGCCACCCATATTCTAAACTTCCACTTTTCAACTAAAACATCCTCTACGCTCACATCAGCCGTCCTTATATCGCATTCAATTATATCCCTCCATCTAATTTTTGGTCCTCTACCTCTTCTTCTTCAACATTCATTTCTAAAACTATCTTACAGCTTCCGATTCCTCTCTCTTCATAACATGACCAAACCATCTAAGTCTATTTTCTCTCATCTTATCCACGATTGACGCTACACCTATACTCCCTTTTATATGCTCATTTCTTATCTTATCTTCTCTAGTCACTCCACGCATCCATCTAAGTATTCTCATCACTGCCTCACTCATTATCTGGTCTATTTTTTTGTCAACTGTCCAACACTCTGAACCATACACCATAGCTGGTATAACTACAGTCTTATAGAATTTACCTTTCAGCCTTATTGAAATAATTTTATCGCATAATACACCAAATGCTTCTCTCAACTTTAAACACCAGCATTTAATCTTGTGTCTAACATCCTCATCAATCTTTTGCACAACTGTTCCTAAATACTTAAAACTTTCCACCTCTCCTATCACGTCCTTGCCTATTGTCACTGAATCCTCTTTTCACCAACTTTGTCATACTTGAACTCTATATACTCTGTCTTACTCCTACTTATTCTTAAACCCTTTTCTCCAAGAGCTGATCTCCACATCTCTAGTTTTGGATAGATTTCCTATTTTCTCCTATTAACACTATATCGTCGGAGAACAATATTCACCACGGCACCTCTCCTTGAATTTCTCTAGTAGTTTCATCCATCACTATAAAAAAATAAGTAAGGTCTTAAAGCAGAACCTTGGTGCACTCCTACTAAAACATTACTTAACTTAAACAATAAATAACAGAAGAAAGGTTTATCAAATAATTACATGAATAAAAGTGTTCAACATTTATTCTATAAAATCATAATTAATTACTTTACACATTGATGAATTTTTCAATGTTTTGGGTATCTCGGAAGTGACTCAAATAAATTTTTAAAATGATTTATGTTCTAAGATCAGGTTATAAGTAGTAATGACAACTCATTTATTTTGAATTTTTTATAAATTTATTTTTAAAAATTTTTTAGTTACTTTTTTGTTATCAACATATTTTTAAATTTCCAAATATTAATATTAAGTTTTAGCGTCATAAAAACAAAGAGTGAATGAATTGCTTTACTTTTTTTTTTTTAATCTCTGTCTACTTTTAAGTCGTTAAATATTGAGTTTATACATCTTGTGTCTCTCAATTTTTCATAGCTTATACAAATAACCTTTTTTATATAAGTGTATAATTCATGGTTATAAACTGAACGAGCAGTATTTGTTCTTTCGAAAGGTTCTAAAATGATTAAAAAATATGATTTAGTATTTTAACTACTCTTCAATACATATACAAATATTAAATGTAATAATTAACTTACTGCTATAGATTTTTAGTTTTTTTTTAATTGAAATGACAATTTAAAAACATTTAAAAACAAAAATTTTTAACTATGACTTTGTAAGCTAACTCATTATAATATAGTTAACTTTACAAGGACCCCAAGGAGGGTTCGGCATAGCCGGAGCACCAGGGTTTTTGTACCTTATTCTAGGGGGAAAGGTTATAAATTAGATTTATGATTTAGTACAATTATTAAAATGTATTAAATTTTAAAGTTGTCATAGACAGACAAAAGTAAAAATTAAATTAATTGTTAAATAAAACCACTTATAAAAATGCATTAAATTAAATATATGGTACAAGCATAATAATAGGACAATATACATATCACAAAAGAAAAGAATTTGAAATATTGAAGTTAAGAAAGACAAAAATAAAAATAGTGATGAAATAATAACCAAAGATTCAAGGGGGAAACAGATATACTGGGTATTAAAGGTTTAATGTTACTCCATCAGTCATAAAAATGTATTGGTTCAAAAGTATTCAAATAATATTGCTTTAGGCGATGAAATACTTTTTTTAAATCTATTAAGAATAATGTCCACATAAAGGTAAGGTAAGGTAAGGTAAGGCAGAATGATTACCACACCATGTGTAGCAAGCTGCGTACAGACAGTCATGCATGCATCAAACGCCATAGGTATCCTTTCAAAAGAGTACTTGACTTTATTATGATAAATAGTCTATCAATTTTCATAAATATAATAATATGGAATCTATTTATATAATATAAAATAAAATAATAGAATATAGGAAAAACATGTGCATGACAGGTCCAATGCATGTGTCAGGGTATAATGGACATGTCACCAACGTTAATGGGTAACCTCTACAAAAATGTAGATGTTTACCATGTCCGACCTGACGACACCCGAGGATCTGTCAATTTGTGGAACAGGGGGAAATGAAGAAAGAAAAAATGTAAGGATTTACAATTACTCGTCATAGAAAATTAATAGTTAACCTATATAGTCAGTAGCTAAATAATGTGACCACATAGTCACATAACCAAAAAATATAAAAGATAATTTAGTAAAAAGCAGCGCACAGCAAAAAAATACAAAAAGAGAAAAATAAAAGTATACCACATTGCAATAAGATGTCCAAAATCCATATGATTTAGGTACAGTGCCACAATGATGGCCAAGCCAAAATGAAAGACTGCTACGCCATCTTCGAAGTTGACAGCAACAGAAATTTGAAATGATGAGGTTGTGCCAAAAGATATACAGTGGAACCTCGATTAACCGTGCTTCGATTATCCGTGTTCGCGATTAACCGTGCTCACTCTTCCGAAAATTTAAAAATAGTTATGGATTGTACATATTATGGCGATAACAATATCAAGATAAACAATATTGTAGATTATTACAAATTGTATTTATCGTATCACCTTCAGTTTACTATAAGCGTTCGCGACGTTACCTTATCTAATAATGAGTGTTAAACGAAAACGTATCGTTCTTTCTCTTGAGAAAAAAGTGTTGATTATTAACCGAGCTGTAGATCATGGTGAAAGTATACAAAAACTTGCAGACGAGTTTGGCGTGGGTCAACAGACAGTTCGTGACTTAATCAAACAAAAAAATGAAATTTTTAAGTTCATATCTTGTCCAGAATTATCAGCTACGAGAAAAACTATGAAAAAGTCATCATTATCAGATATGGAATCTGCTCTTTTTGAATGGTTTAAACAGAAGCGTATTGAAGGACTTCCAATTTCTGGGCCAATAGTTTGTGAAAAAGCAAAATGGTTTCATGAAAATTTGAAAATAGAGGAAAGTTTTAATGCTTCACAAGGTTGGTTATTTAGATTCAAAACTCGTCATGGTATAAGACAGCTGGACATTCAAGGTGAATGTCTCAGTAGAGATTTGACTGCTGCAACACTGTTTAATGACGAATTCAATTCAATGCTTTCAAAATTGAACCTGTCCCCTGATCAAGTGTACAACGCAGATGAATCAGGTCTATTCTGGAAAATGTTACCCTCAAAAACACTTGCCGCGCAATCTGAAAAATCAGCTCCTGGACATAAATCTAGCAAAGAACGACTTACTATTATGACATGTTCAAATGCAACCGGTACACATAAGATCAAATTAACTGTAATTGGAAAAGCTAAAAAACCAAGATCTTTTAAAGGAACCGAAATGAAATATTTTCCATGTGATTATTACCACCACCCAAAAGCTTGAATGAACCAGGTTATTTTAAGTGAATGGTATTTTAACGTTTTTGTACCTTCTGTAAAAAAATTTCAAGATGAAAAAGGTATACCAAAAAGAGCTGTTCCGCTTGATAACGCTCCTTCACACCCCCCAGAATCTACCCTGAAAACTNCCTTCACACCCCTCAGAATCTACCCTGAAAACAATGGATGGTCAAATTTTTGTCTATTATCTACCACCTAACGTAACTTCCTTAATACAGCCAATGGATCAAGGCGTGATTTCCTGTTTGAAACGAAAGTACAAAAAGATATTTCTCCGTTATCTCTTACAAGAAAATTGTTATGATTCAATGAAAGAACTTTTGAAAACATGGACCATAAAAGATGCCATTTTTGCAGTATGTAATGCTTGGAAAAATGTACCTACAAGTACGTTACGACTTTCTTGGGCGAAAATCTTAGATCAAGGTTATGGTGACGAAGAAAATGTCGAAGATACAGATATAGAAGATTGTCTTGAACTTGCTACATCTATTCCAGATTTCACTAACGTTGATAAAGACGATATTGTTGATTGGCTACAAAAAGATCATAACGAAGAGGGATTTGAGCGTTTAAGTGACTTTGACATAGCAGCTCGTTATGGCAGTACAAGTACACTATCTACCTCATAAAAGCTTGATTCTTCTTTNCTATCTACCTCACAAAAGCTTGATTCTTCTTCTGAGAGTGATAATGAAAGTGAGAGTTTTGAAAAAATACAGACTAGCCAAGCAATGGAAGCAGTTGATGTCCTTTTGAAATTTTGCGAGCAGGAGGATTTTGACTTCCATGACGTTATTGGCTTAAGAAAAATAAGAAGTGAAGTGAGGACAATTATTTCAAAACAAAAAAAACAAAGGCTGATCACTTCTTACTTTTTTTAAGTCAATAACGTCATCCTCATAACTTATTATGTATGCATCATTTGTATTAATATAAAAAATTTTTTAATTAAATTAAATAAATTACATTTCTTATTATAATAAAATAAAAATTTCATTATTATAAAAAGTCTCGATCAACCGTGGTTTTCATTTATCCGTGTGACCCGCTCCCCGTCATTACCCCGGATAATCGAGGTTCCACTGTATATTTGATGATGAAGAGTAAAATGATGTTGCTGATTCTTTTCGAACATAAACAAGATTTTTTATGCCGAGTTGATTACACGGAAGAGGGTACTAGACAGTATGACCATTGATAGGTGCAGTATTTAGGATGAGGATCACAGGTGGTAGGAGACATGTCTCAATTTAATAAATAATCATGTGTGTATGTGTAACACTGACCCTACAGATGTATGGCGCGCACTGTTTGAATACAGTTACCTGTAACCTTATAGTCATGATCATTTTATTACGTTACAACTTACAATATCATTACAAAACAAAAATTATAATACGCCGATTAACCGGACGCCAACTATCCGAAACGCCGACTGGTACGTGCTTCATTTTTCTCAGAATTGACGGTACAAGTCGAGACTGGTTACATATTCACATCAGTACTATAGCTTACTGTATTGTGCACTTCATTTAATTTTTGTATGTTATGAGCGGCTGAGAAAATGACTTCTACTCCATCTTTGAGTACCAAAAGAAGCCGTAATGTTCTCTCAATTTATCAAAAAGTTGAGATCATTAAGTGACTCGATAAAGGCGAAAGTATTCCATCTTTACTCAAGATTTACAATATTGGAAAATCTACAATTTATGATTTAAAAAGCCGAAAGAATGAAATTTTAAATTTTGTGACAGATTTCGATAGCGAGGAAGGTTAAAATGGTTATGAAATCAGCGAAAGATGAAAATTTAAAGAAAGCTAAATACGTTTGGTTTGTTCAGAAGAGAAATCAAGGAGATCCTAGTTCTGGACTTCTTTTATGTGAAAAAGCACTTCAGTTGAATGAAAAATTGGACGAGCCTTCCAATTTCAAGGCAAGTACGGGTTGGCTAAGAAATTTCCAATCTCGTCATGGAATTCGTTCATTGGATATCCAAGGAGAACATATTTCTAGTAATGGGGCTGTTGCTGACAAATTCAAAAATAATTTTGTAGAATTTTTGATGAATGAGAACTACACCCTGGATGATGTATATAATGCAGACGAAACTGGCTTGAATTGGAGGATTTTACCATCTAAGTCCCTTGCTTCAAAACGAGAAAGGTCAGCTCCTGGCTTTAAAGTTAGCAAGGAACGAGTGAAAATAATGGTTTGCGCGAATGCTAGTGGTACTCATCGCCTACTTCTCCTAATGATTGGTAAATCGAAAAAGCCGCGGTGTATTAAAAATTTGAAGAACTTTCCAGTACGTTATACGAAATAGAGGATGAGAAGAACGTGGAAGTAAATGACACTGGAATTGCTGAGGATTTGGATGAGATTACAAATGAGTTATTCCCTCGGATTCCTGGTTTTACTGATTACGATCAAGGAGATGCGCAAGCTTGGTTGGCAAGTGACACTAATGCAGGGTTCCACATCTTCAATGATGATGAATATGTGAGTACGGTATGACAATATCTCATAAATAGAATAAAAAATATATTCTATTGAAATATTTCCATTATATGGACACAAAAAAATTTTTTCTTCGATGCGAAGCTGAGAAGGTATAAACTTTACTATAATGTTTTTTTTTTATGTCTGTTGCCACTTTTTTTTAGCTCTCACTGGACCGATTTCTTTCAAAAATACGTCAAAAGATCACAAATCGTATCTAGTTGAAGACATTACCCTTAAAAATTGAAAAAAATTCTCTCGTTCCCCGCAAATGGGGGAAATATGCAAAAAAATTACAAATTTAAAAATCGCTAATTTTTGAAATTTTTTCACTTTTTTTTCTTAAAACTACCATAACTTTTTGAAAAATCAACAAAACAACATAAATTTTTTTTATACTAAAACCTTAGATATTTCCCTTTCATTTGATATTATTTTTTTGAAAATCTAACACTTATTCTGCTCACATTGAAAATGTTCCGGAAATACTGCGTCCTTTTAACATATATAAAATTAAAGCTTATTTTATGTACTATAAAATAAAAATAAAAAAATTGTCCCGAAACCTTATCTACTATGTACAAATTGCTGTCAAAATTTAAAAAAAAATGTAATATTTGCGATAAAAATCACCTTCTATAAAAATGTTTATTGTACTTAAAACTGCCATAACTTTTTCAAATTTTTACAAAATAATATTTTTTTATATTGAAACCTTAGGTAATTTCCTTTCGTTTGATATAATTTTTTTTTTGAAAATCTAACACTTATTCTGCTCACAGGGGGGATTTAAAATAGCAACTTTTTTACAAAAACTAACTTTTTCAACTTAATTTTTGAAAATGTTCCGGAAATACTGCGTCCTTTAAACATATATCAAATTAAAGCTTATTTTATGTACTATAAAATAAAAAAAAAAAAATTTGTCCCGACGACCTATCTTCTATGCGCAAATGGCTACCGTATTCAAAAATATGCTATTTTTCTATTAAAATTCTAGGTTTTGTATTTTATTTTATTTTAAAATATCTTATTAGGAGAATATATTGACTTTCATGAATGTTATATAATTTAATTGACATAATTGACAATGTTCATAAGACATAAGAAATTAAACTTATTAAATTTTTTTTACTTTTTTAAAGTCGAAAAAGTAATTTTTTAATTTGAGTTAGCTTAAATAGCCAATTTTTTATATGAAAAAACAAATTTTTAAAATATTAAAATTTAGAAGTGATAGAAAAAGTCTAATTGCAGATTTGAAAACATTGCGAAAAGTTGATTTAGAATGGTATATTTTTGTTACTGATGAAAGTTCCTTGTAGTTCAGTGCATTTATTTATAGTAACAAACAGTTTTTAATGAAATTTATTGTATCATACGCTTTAAATTTTTACACGTAAAAATAAAGCAAAATACAACTTCTTTATTATTTTTATAATTTCTCCGTATAAATTACAATATTAAATTATTGAATATCAATTTCATACTAAATTTAATAATTATAATTANCACAATTTCATACTAAATTTAAAAACTATAATTAGTATTTATTCATATATTATATTTTAAAATCAAAGAACTACTAATCAGGATATAATTAAAGAAATAAGAGTTCATGTTGCTTTTAAAATATTTCACCAATTTCTCTAAAGGAAACACTATCTACAGATTTGCATCGAAGCGTTTCTTATTATAGTGATTTTAATCACTGTCAGATATCATCTATACTTGTCCCATCTATGCCTTGTCTATACTGTGCCTCGCCCCCACTGTGCTATCGTTTTTTTTAAATAATTGTTTTTGTATATTTTGAGAATATATTAAGGAGAATAAATGCCGAATATTACACTAAAAATATTTCTACAATGTGTTTAAAAAATATCTTTTTAAATATTTGCTTAAAAATATTATGAAAATATATTAATTAGAATAAATATAGAATATTTGACTCGAAATATTTGTTGAATATATTATCAATATAATTTTTTTAATATTTTAATTATATAACTTGTTGGCCAATTGTGGTAACTTAAGAGAGACAAGCCATCCTCATGCCACCCTTTGATGTTATTGGTACCTAGTAGTTATATAATACTTATGTATTTTATATACATATTCCTAAATCCTTAATAAGTAAACAGCTGTTTTCTCTAATTAATATCAATTTTAATTAACCTAATTCAATTAAGCTAGGTAAGTCAGGGACAGTAAAAAAACCCTTGTTGCTATTATATGCAGGCCTATTGAGTTATAATTTTTAAAGTTTTATCAGCGCGATTATATCTTATTATTGCCCTGTGAAAGTTAAAATCTTAAAAAAGTTTTCTTATTATACTTAGAATATATTTTTATATTGTCAACAATATAGGTCAATTTCTAACTTACAAGGAAAGATCACGGTGTTGGGATCGCCGATTTTCAAAAAATTAATATGAATCTAATCTAAATTGAATATTAAGTTTTATTTATTTTGAATTTTTATCGACTTTCAAACATAAAATCTGGGGCTTCTTTTACACCATGTACTGTCCATAGTCTTAATCTAGTTCTCTGTGATGAAAAATTCATTAAGGGTCATCACTTTTATCGGTGTTATACGTCGTGTATATACTTTATTCTTAGCTTCTATTTGTCGTTGAGATACATTAAAAAGCAACTATAAACAATTTACAGTAAACAGTGGTCTGAAACTCGATGCGAGAGTCCTTAAAATAGCGTTAAAGCATTGGGTTTTCAGTTGCCATTTAAGATTAATTCTCTGGAAGAAGTTTCTAATGACACTAATGATTTGGTTGAAAGAATGAAGCTTTTTCGTTGTTAAAAGAAATTTCTAGTTATGAATTTATTTTGAGTATGATCTTTTGATACGATATTTTAAAGGAAACGAATATCGTTAGTAAAAGTCTACAGAATCATAATATGGACTTATGTGTTTCAACTAAATTGGTTTTTGGTCTTTTTGAATATTTGAAAATTTACAGAGCAAATGGTTATGAATCAGTCAAAATCAAAACAAATCAATTAGCAGATTTAGTTGGTACAGAATCAGTTTTCAAAAAATGTCGAATTAGAAAAGAAATTATTCGACTATGAAGCTAATTATGAAGTTATTGAAAATGAAGAAGAACAGTTTAAAATAACATCTTTTTTTATCTAATTGGATTAGGCTATTAAATCATCAGTTAAACGTTTTAAACAACTGGACTTTTATTCAAATCATTTTGGTTTTCTATACCACATTGGTAAATTAAGTTATGAAAGATGATGAACTAATGAAGTGCTGCAAAAACCTACACTTAGTTCTTTCGAACGAATATTCCAAAGATATAGATGGACAGGATTTATTTGAGGAAATCGTCATTTTTCGAACTTTAGTCGAAGAAGATGTTACACTTCTTCAAGCTTTGACAGAGTTAAAAAAACTAGATTTTGGCGTGTGTGTTCATTACGGATATTACCGACGACTGAAGGGTAGTTTCCCATCGTTACATACGTATAGCATTGTTCGAATTAAAGAAAACATTTAATATTATAAGAATCAACTCTTGTCTTCCGACGTTGTTTCTTTGATTTTACTGTTGTGCTTGTGTAATATACATACACATATACATAAATATATAATACATATATATATATATATATATATATATATATATATATACCTTGAGTGTCGTATCATTTGGATACGCGTTAATGTTAATACTCATTTTTTACTAGTTAGTAATTATATCAAAAATTAAAAGTGATAGAAAAAGTTTAATTGCATTTAAAAACAGCTCGAAAAGTTGAAACATAATAGTATATTTTTGCTTCTGATGAATATTCCTTGTAGTCCAATGTATTTATCATAAGTAACAAACAGTTATTAGTGAATAGTATTGCATCAAGCCCTTTAAATTAATATATGCGTTAAAAGTAAAGAAATAGACTACTTTATTATTTTTATAATTTTTCCTTATTAATTACAATATTAAATGATTGAATATCAATCTCATACTAAATTTAATTACTATAATTACTATAATTAGTATTTATTCATATATTATATTTTTAAATCAAAGCACCTCTAATCAGGATATAATTTAGGAAATATGAGTTCATGTTGCTTGTATAACTATGCACTAATTTCTTAGAATTAAATATTATCTACAGATTTGCATCGAAGCGTTTCTTATGATAGTGATTTTAATCACTGTCAGATAAGATCTATACTTGTCTAAACTATGCCACGTCCACACTATGCTACCTAATCATTATGCTAAGATGTGATAACAAGTACATAGTGTATACTTTATCTAACAAGTGTTATAAGCCAAATTCAAGCTTCAATTCCGTATGTTAGTAAAAATATTTCATATCCTATAGTGAAATATACACTTTTAAATTCGAAATACTTTACTCGTTAATGACAATAAATTTATTCAGTGGTTCGACCAACTTGTTCTGATATTCCAAAATATTATCTCAAATATATAAAAGTCTTTGTTCATCTATTCTATCCAATAATTGTGATTATTATTATTGTTATTTATCTTCTTTTATAAATAAATATGATGGTTTTTGTTTGATTTTGCAATTTTGGTTTCAGAATAGTTTGAACTTCTGAACTGCTGATTTAAGGTGACTTGACTATTTTAGCGAAGTGTTTCCTAGACTTTTAAATGGCGTCAACTTCTTCAGATAGTTCATTCTACAAGTTTAGAAAAGATTTTTATGTCTCTTTTGTTGGTTATATAACCAATCAAATCGTCGGAGCCAAACTACCTTCGAATAAACAGGTTTAAGTGTTTTTTTCTACAATGTGAGAGTTGTAAATCTTACAACAAAAGAAAGCGCAGCGTTGGTGATTCAAGAAGTTTCCATATTTTGGCAAAAAGCACGAATTCCTTCTAAAAGAACTGATCATTGCATTGATAAGTTACTTAAACTATATGATGAATGAAAAGGTTTACAAAAAAACTTGACAAGACTTCGGGTAAAAAAAAGGATAAAAGAGATATTTTCATAGAAAAAATGGATAATCTCTTTGACATATGTAATATAGGTCATTATTTTATAAAACTGAAAACAAAGCATTTTTGTAATGTTTGGTTTAACTATGAATTTCTTAATCTATTATTACAAAAATATAATATAGTCTATTATTTGTAAACCTAGAAGTAGAACACTTATGTAATGTTTAGATTAATTGTAATTCCTCGAATTATTGTTACTAGATCAGGAAGTAAATATTTATAAACCTTTTTGAAAATGATTACTATATGAATTTTATAAAAAGACAAACAAAATATTTTAGTATATAAGATGAAACGGAATGAATTAAAAAGGGAGAAAGAGGAGACTTCGGGAGTACCGAAGGTAATCTCTTTCCGTGTGGTACGTTTGTGACATTAAGTTTTTATTTTGTGTATTATTTATTTATCCGTTTTTAAGTGTATCAATATTTTATATGTTTTTATTTTGATTGATTATATCTTTATTAACTACATTTTGCGTTATTATTGAACTACTAAAAATATAAGTTAGAACAAAAAGATTGTTCCTTAAATAAATACAACACATAGCTCATTCAGATGCTTTGGAACAGATGAAAAATGAAGACGATAAGAAATTTTTAATTCTTCAAATTCTTCACCTACCAAAAATGAAGTTTTTGATAGGTTCAAAATTACTGATAGAAATGCAGTTTTCATATTAATGGCTGCTGCAGAAGCTTTCGGGCAAGAGACTGAAAAGCTAGTAATAAATCGTACTTCTTTGCAAAATCTCAGAAAAAAATTTAGAGAAGAAAGATACACAGAAATCCAGAACAAATTTAAATTAAACAACTGCCAAGAATTAGTGTTACACTGGGATGGAAAGTTACCCCGTTTCGCTAGGCTACAGTGTCGGCGTGATCGGGCTCTACGGGGCTACGAAACGTCGGCACGAGCGCAGTCTCCCTAGCTCGGGGAATCGGGCGCGTCCTCAGGTTGCGGATAGAGGAACGGCCTGCAGATATGCAGGTTAGCCGCGAAATAAGCAGTCCATTAATTTGGACTGACGAATAAGCGGTTGCGGACAGCGAGCAGCCCAAACGCTTGTTAATCCTGTAGAAATAAGCCGTGAAATAAGCCTTTATGGACGAATAAGCGGTAGCGTTTGGGTGTGAACGGAGTTAAACGGCAACGCAACCAGTGAAGTTAGCCACTCACTGGCCGGAGGAACTGGCACAACTATGAGGGCAGCCACCTCAAATCATATTTTATTTTATGAAATGGCATCGGACGGAGTAAAGGTTACTGCATCAGGGAATCGGATGCCCCCGTGCTAGCGGTTGGTGGGGGGCGTACTCACAAGGTGTCGTGCGCCGACGTGCGACCAGTGTTCGGATCGCCCGGGAGAGGCTGATAGCGCTTTGCACACCCTCTTCCGGTGTGAGGCGTGGGCCCAGGAACGGAAATCTTTGGAGTCTCGACTAGGGTCCACGTTCCGAGTCGGGTCCATGGTGGACCTGATGTTGAGGAGCCGGGAGGCGTGGAGTCTCGTCCAGGCGTTCGCCGAATCCATCTTGAAAAAGAAGGAGGAAGCTGAGCGCCTGAGACAGAGGCAGCCGCGCCACCCGGTACAGGAGGATCTAAGGCGCTGGTTTAGGCCGGCGCCTTAGGTATTCGTGTTTATATGTTTCTTTATGTTTTGTGAGTTATTTTGCCTCCTTCGCAAAGTCCTACCCCCACCTCCACGCGGTGCAACCCGGGCAACGGATTCTACTTTTCGAGATCCTGCTAACGGGGGAGGCCACACTACGTTGTGAATCAGCTCTCGATTAATTTAGGACTGATGCACAACGTGGTGGTGTGAATTTTAGAGACAACGTGGGCCGCCCTGAAGTAATACCTCACGGTTGGGTTGGTCGTGAAAAAAAAAAAAAAAAAAGGGATCGAAAGTTACTCCGAGCACTAACAGGTGTAGAAAAGGTTGATAGACTAGCAATAATAGTCTTCTTTCAAGGCAAAGAGCAACTGCTGGGATTACCTGAAATCCCAACTTCTTCAGGAGAAAAACAAGTGTTGGCTGTTTACCATGCAGTCGATAAATGGAGTATAACTAACAAAATTAAGGCATTGTGCTGTGATACTACAGCAAGCAACACAGGTCGAATAAATGGTGCCTGCATAAATCTAGAAAAATTGTTCAATCGTGACCTGTTGTACTTCCCTTGTCGTCATCTCATTTTTGAATTAGTTTTGAGAAGCTGTTTTGACCTGCTGATGGATGCGACTACTGGTCCACACATGCCACTTTTCAAAAAATTTAGAGAAACTTGGGCTAAAATTAACAAAAATGTTTATACAACTGATAAAAATGAAGTGCCTTATGATGTCCGCTCTACTATTATTCATTTTATTGAAGATCAGCTTGCTTCTTACAAACAACTGCGAGATGATTATCGGGAATTATTGGAGTTAACAATGATCTTTCTTGGAGGCATTCCAAAGAATGGCATAGTTTCATATACCAGGAGCTGTAAGTCATGTCAGATGGATGTCAAAAGCAATCTATGCATTTAAAATATACTTATTTCAAGATCAATTTAAATTATCTTATAGGGAGAAGAACTCCTTAAGAAGAATATGCATTTTTCTTGCTCGAGTGAATGTTCGAGCATGGTTCTTGTCACCAGATGGAGTTAAAGCACCCTATCATGATTTTCTTTTCGTGTTATAACCATGGTTACTGAAAAAAACTGTTTTAAACATAAGTAAACGTAAATTATTACGTTTTAAATGTCGCATAAGACTATGTAACGTGACAAAATGTGAATTTTATATCTATTATTATTTCATATGGTATAGATAAATTTACTGTTTTACTTTGCTAATGGGCGCGCGTACGTTATATCCAGCCGTGTAATCAGAAAACTGTACTGTTACTAACAAGGTAAAACTATACACACAATATTCTTTATCAATTTAATAATCGTTCCCTATATGACACATACACTGGCCACCACTGTCAATAACTGTAAATTTTAATATTGTACTATACTTTTATATTCTGTAAATTGTAAGGCCGATACTCTCTCCCAAACGTGATCGTCCTCGTCGGTGTGTAAAAAGTTGACATTTCTCTTCCCTTTAAACCACCGTCGTGCTACTTTGCTGTGTGCGTACAGCCAACATTGTTTTCGTGAGTGACATTTTTGTTAATATGCAATAAACTTTAACACGGCGTCGACCATTTTCCGGAACCGAGATCCCCGTCTTCGATTGGGTCCCATCCGGGATTGGGTATCGTATTGTTTTTTTTAATTAATATAATGTTTTGATTTTTTTCTGTTAACATTTATTCTTTTATGAAATGCATATATATATATTAAGCTATATTTGATAAATACAAAGTTATTGGTCAGTGGTGTGTCATGTATATTTAATACATATATAGATATATATATATATTAAGGTGGTCCTTAAAATACAAATTTTCAAAATTCNATTAGGGTGGTCCTTAAAATACAAATTTTCAAAATTCGATTTACGCGCACCAAAAAATTGTTCTAATACATGTAAAAATAAACTGTGCAAAATTTGGTCCCGATAGGTTGACGTTAACACGTGCCGCAAGAGGGTTGAAAATTCGATCAAAAGGGTAGTTTTTCAGTTATTGTGCTTTATCTCAAAATATATGATTTTTACGTAAAAGTTTATAAGAAAGAAATTATACATATAATTATTTTACATAAAAAAGGTTACTAGCAAAAAACTCATAAGTCAAATATTTACCTCCTAAAAGTCAAAAGTTCCATAAATATTATGTTTACCAGTAAAATTCATATATTTCGGCAATTTAAGTATATACGATGAACCGTTCAAGTTATAAAAAAAATTTTCATGTAAAAGTTATTTGAAATTTAATTTTCTATTAGTTTTGTAGAAAAGTAAAATTGTTTTACGTGTTTTCTGGCGAGGTAATAAAGAAAAATTATAAATAACAATCATTTTTCTATGATAATTTAAAAAATAACGATTTTTTTTTTTATTTTTTCAAACTTAAATAAAATAAGTAAACCAATAATGAAATGCTAAAAAAAATATGAAAAATGATCTTAATGCTCATAAAATATTATAAAATTAAATAATATTACAAATAATTCTTCTAGTAGTCACAATATAAAAAAAATTTTGTTTTTGATAGGATTATTAATTGTTATTATTCATCAATGAATTTTTAGTACAATCTCCAAATTGTGATCTATAATCATTAACGACTTGTAGTAGAAACTGTTTTTGTTCATCATCATTAGTTAATATTTCATTGTATTCTTGCATACGTTTTACACCTCTCTCTGCTATATCGTTTGTCACAAGAGGATTAGATAAAACTTTCAAACCATTTTGAAAATCAGGATTTTCAACCTAGCTATGAGGATGAGTTTCCAAAAAAACTATCAAGTTCTTTATTTTTAAATAGTTTAGTATCATTTAAGTTTATTGTAATTTTTTTTATCTTGTTTTTGTGATGTCTCTCTTGATGCCTCAACCATTTTTAGTTTAATATCTGCCGGTACACTGTCCGGTAAATTTCTGTATTGCAGTTTTAGATATAAAAGAATCAGGATAATTAATTAAAACTTTAAAGAAATNTTTAGATATAAAAGAATCAGGATAATTAATTAAAACTTTTAAGAAACATAAATCATTAAATGCTGATTGTATGACAATAGATCCCTTAAACTAAGCCTTGACATAAACTTTGACCAAAAATACACAAATATTACGAAATGCATGTTCTTCTCGTATATTAAGCTGTTTTCTGAACATGTATATTTTTAACGAATAAATTGCTTTAGACATCCATCTAGCATGATGAAAAACACTAGGGTAGTGAAATTTTACACCATTAAGTGGTATTGCACCCATAAAAATAACACATAAATTCTTTGTAGTAACTTCTACATTGTTGAATTATTAATGTTTCCAATTAAAATTTTTTAAAATTATTTTTAGTGTGTTCAACTGCAATTTTTATAATTATATTATTGATACCAATATCAAAATTCAATAAATCTAGACTAATCAAACATTCTTTAAATTTTTAAAAATTGATACATCTGGACCAGTTGTGCATAAATTAAGTTTAACCTCGAAAACATTTTTTATTCCAAAATATGTCTACGACATGGTAAATACAACACATTGCGCTATAAGAGTTGTTTAAGCAATATACAAGCGTCATTTAAGCGACCTGTATTAGAAGCTGTTGTGTCACAACACAAGGCCTGTATTTTATTTTTTACATCCCAAACTTGTAATAAAACAAAAATTGCATTTACCTGATTCTTGCATTGAACTAATGCAGAAAGTAATTTAGGAGTCATAAAAGTTATAAACCCTCGTGTTTTTGAAGAATATGATGAACCAGACAAATCATCTTCTGTTTCATATTCTGAGGAACTAAAGAAATTTAACTCAACAACATTATCTAAACAAAAAATGATAAATGATAGAAAAATGATTGTTATTTATAAGTTTTCTTTATTACCTCGCCAGAAAACACGTAAAACAATTTTACTTTTCTACAAAACTAATAGAAAATTAAATTTCAAATAACTTTTACATGAAAATTTATTTTATAACTTGAACGGTTCATCGTATATACTTAAATTGCCGAAATATATGAATTTTACTCGTAAACATAATATTTATGGAACTTTTGACTTTTAGGAGGTAAATATTTGACTTATGAGTTTTTTGCTAGTAACCTTTTTTATGTAAAATAATTATATGTATAATTTCTTTCTTATAAACTTTTACGTAAAAATCATATATTTTGAGATAAAGCACAATAACTGAAAAACTACCCTTTTGATCGAATTTTCAACCCTCTTGCGGCACGTGTTAACGTCAACCTATCGGGACCAAATTTTGCACAGTTTATTTTTACATGTATTAGAACAGTTTTTTGGTGCGCGTAAATCGAATTTTGAAAATTTGTATTTTAAGGACCACCCTAATATATATATATT